GTCAAGATCTTTCCCTCTGTCGGCTCTTCTGCTGCTCTCAGTGTTTGTACAAGTCAAAACTATTGATTGTACCACGACTGATGACTTGAAGGCTTAGGTTTGCTGTGGCAAACAATAGTAGGCAAATTATACAAAAAAAAAAATCAGATGTAAAACTTTTCTGCTTTCCAACACCTCCTGTCACACCTTGACAATCTAGCCAGCGTTTGCCTGATGTACGAAAAATCTGGAAAATATGCTGGCATACATTGGATAAGTTATGAGCACGCTGAAACACGTTGACACTCGTCGACATACGGCAAGTATGCCAGCGTATGCTCATACATGGGCCATAAGTTACAGATAAGTTATCTGATCATTGACATACGTTAAGTGTTAGTAACTCATAAGTCGTGGTGTCTAGCTTATCCAAAACCTATGAGTAACTTATGCATATCTTATTCCTGAATTTATGCCCTCGACCAAGAAACTTCCTAGCAGACGTCACTGATCGTCACCCTCTTTCTTTCCTTTTCTTTTTTCCATCCATCCATCCATCCATCCATCCATCCATTCCATCCATCCATCCATCCATCCATCCATCCATCCATCCATCCATCCATCCATCCATCCATCCATCCATCCATCCATCCATCCATCCATCCATCCATCCATCCATCCATCCATCCATCCATCCATCCATCCATCCATCCATCCATCCATCCATCCATTCCATCCATCCATCCATCCATCCATCCATCCATCCATCCATCCATCCATCCATCCATCCATCCATCCATCCATCCATCCATCCATCCATCCCAGCTCCCAGGACAGCCGAGAAACATACTCCCTCCAGCATGTCCTGCATCTCCCCCTGGGCCTCCTCCCTATGCGGACCTGAGTGAAGTTGGCCCCCCCACCTTCTTGAAATCAGACAAAATTAGTTTTAAACGTTTTTGCAGCACCTCTGATGACCCCTGGAGAACATTTTTTTTTTAAATCTTTAGAATGATAGGAGCGCAAATGAATATAATGAATAGAAACACAACTGAGGTGATTGACACCCAATTTGTCTGATTTCATAAAAGGGGTCTGGGGGGGGATTGACCTTTAACCTTTCATTAATATCTTCAAGGCAAAAGCAACAAAAACGACAATTTTAGGTGCACAAACAGAGTCGAGTTAATTGACACCCATTTCGTCTGGTTAGAAGAAGGTGGGGGGGCTGATTGACCTTTGATGACCTCTAGGAACATTTTTTTTATATCTTTAAAATTATAACGGCAAAGACGAAAAATTTTAGCTGCATAAACGTTTGACACTAATTTTGTCTGATTTCATAAAAGTTGGGGGGGCTGGTTGACCTTTTGACCTTTACCTTTCATTAATATCTTCAAAGCCAAAGCAGCACAAACAACAATTTATGCTGCACAGAGTCGAGTTGATTGACACCCATTTGGAGAAGGTGGGGGGCTGATTGACCTTTGATGACCTCTAGAAACATTTCTTTATAAATGATAGCGGCACAAGTGAAAATTGTCGCTGCACAAACGTAGCACAAACATTTGACATTCATGGGCATTACGCTGCCGTGCATTATGCATAAGTTAGGCTGTCGTTGAACATAAGTTCTAGAGTCGTTATGAATATTTAAAAATATATAGAAAGTTCAGCATTATAGAAGATTCTGGGACGTCAGGATTGAGCTCGCTAAATCGTCAAGGTGTGACAGGGGCTTAAGGTAGTTAAACATGGGCTGATTATAGAGTATTGTTGCTGTTAATAATTGAAGAAAATAAATCAGAACAGAACATCAATCTTAAACTCGGTGTAAATCAGACGCCAAAGCTGCAGCAGATCTTCAGATTGCCCAACTGAAATGAGCTTTTATCTCTGCTGCTGATGCCGTCTAACGCTCTCTGTAATTTGCATCAGAAGCATTAAGGGCTCATTATATCAAAAAATCCCACTGCTCACCGAGCTCCGATGCAGGTGCAAATTTTAACGCGCTCCATATTTTGGAAGCGATCCAGAAGCAGGAGAACCTTCCAGCGCGTCCCCGTCTGTCTGTTAACATCTCCTCTGTCTGTTCCTCACTCTGCACATTGTGCTCTCCCCTCAAAGGTTAATAGACACGGGTTTGGAGCTGCGGGTCCTTCATGCCTAACCTATTATTCCAAATGTCAGCTGTGTAAATGATCAGCGCTTTTCCTTATCATCACACATTATCTGGGTAATTGCTCCCTGACAGGCGTATTTGTTTTGATGCAGTATTCATGCGCCGATAGCCTTCCCCGCCATCAGTTTAAGCGTGTGTTTATTGCAACACGCTCCTTCTGCGATGCTGACTTCTACATGAATGCTCGGCAAATCATTATTTCAACATTTATAGTATTTCAGTGTTATTTATGCAAGATTTATTGAAATATTTTGATGTAAATGTAAGAGTGAACAGTTTGCATGCATCCATGGTGAAGTGCAAGGCATGGGGGGGGTATTGATTATTTTAAAAAGCTTGACATTTGGTGCTTAATACGCTTCAGGGATGGTTTTGTTTTATAACCTAATTGATTAAGTCAGTATTTCAGAAACTTAAAGGTCTTTTAAGATTCAAACTACAATTTGAAGATGAGAATTATTCCTGGGGTGATCATCTTTGCTTTTCTTACATTCTTGTGTTTCTCTCACAGCAGCGTTACTCATGTATTGATGGCTGGTAAGGTGATGGAGAAAAAGACAAAGTAAAAGCTGAGATAAACACAAAGGATCAGGAAACGAAGGCCAAAAACAGGCGAAGCTCTAACAGTTTGTGCATTTTAATAGTTTAGAATAGAGCTTCAGAAGCAATGTTGCTGCGTTTTCATTCCCTTATTTGCATCCAACACATCCCAACAGCTTCAAATGAGATTAGCAGAGAGTTTTGGTGAAAGACCAGCTCTAAATAGCATATATCTATATTAATGGAAAGTTATAAATGGTTTAGGGATGCAGGTTATTGAGTATTGAATCAATCTAAAGCTAATTGATCTTATCTATTGTCTAAATGTAAGTCGAAATTTTTTTAAAGCATGTTTTCAACAGGATTTTTCCATCAACCTAAAGAAACAAACAGACAAATACTCTGGTAGTAGAAGTGGTATTTACTGCCCCAACATTAAATACTGACTGAATGTTTTATTACATATAATTAAGCTAGACAGATATAGAACAAAACATTAATCTAAGTTACTAAATGAAAGAAGATCAAATGTGTGAAACACTTAAGATTTAACGTGCAGAGATGTAAAACTATCATCAAAGTGGGATCTATCACTCCATCAGAATTTCTGCTACTTTGTTTTAGTGAGTCGAACGTTAATTCTGATGATTGAGGATTCGTTAATGAGTCATGTGACCCAGAGCAATGCTGTACAGCAGCGGCGCTCGAGTCAGGTCCTCAAGAGCTACCATCCTGCAACTTTCTTGATGCACCCCATTTTTAACACCCCTGAATCAAGTGAGGGCCTCGTAAACATGCCACTGCTGAGCTAAATGAGGGGAATGAGCCTTTAGATGTTAGAGAAGAGATGCATCTAAAAGTCCCAGGATGGTGGCTCTGGAGGACTAGAGCACCCCTGCTGAACAGCATTCTGAGATTTTCTTAAACATAAGTCCTAAGCTAATAGTTGTTGTTAGCCAACAAAACGAACCCGATCATAAGGATGTATGTGACCTTAAAAACTCCATGACTCCTTAATCTGCAGGTCCAAAGTAGTCTGACTCTAAAACACGAAGGGACATTAACGAAATTTTGACCACTTAACAGACCCGATTCAGTGGCGCATCAGATGTTTTTAAAGTGAACTTCTCAGAAGTGACAGATGAAATGACACAAGAAAAGATGGAGAGCCAATCAGTAGCTTGTGGGCGATCTAAACTCAGGGAAGTGGGCTTCAGCTTGAGCTGCAGTTTTCCTCTTGGTCCTAGTGCTCAACGATTGTCTGTGTACTGTAGAGTAACGTTGTTTTTGGACAGGAAAACATGCATGGGACAATAATGGATGTGTCTTTTTAAAGTATTGCATAAAGCTAGAGCAGAGGGCATAACACGACCACACAAAGGTCTCCTTGTTTACTACTGAAGAATACTAATGTTTGTTTTAAGTCCTTAGATTTCTTTTGTACGGTGTGTGACCCCCCCCCCCCCCCGATCCCTCTCCACCCTCCCAACATTCCGTCCGTGCGAAGGGAGAATGTTTATCACAGTGCAGTGTTGAAAGTGTCCTTAAGGGGAGCTAAACCTGGAAGTTACAGGGTACTGTAGTAGGTGGGGATTTTTCAAGCCTTAACAAAAAAGTTTTTTTGGATTCACCGGGCCATTTTCACTCTTGGGGCCTGTTTGTCTAAAACAACCATTGTGCTTCTGGCTTTCTATTCATGATTAGGAAGCTCCAACTTAATTGTTAACCTGTAATAAATAAATATATATATATATATACATTTATTTATTTTTTATTTATTTATTAAGGATGTGGCACCTTAAGCTCTATTCAACTTCCTTTTATTCAAATCAGATTTCCCCAGAGCATCATACGGTCACCACCATACCTCACATTGGAGAGGTTACAGCTTTTCCTTTCATAAATGTTCCTATTTCAAAGCTCTAACTTTAACTCAGCTTGAGATTTTTATTTCATTTTATTTTATATAATAACGCTGCCTTTAAACTTTGCATACGTATCCCTGACATGCCTGCCCTCTTCTTGGACTTTGTTCTTTTTTTGTGAGGTCCCCAAATGAACCTTTTAGGCCCTCACAGAATGTTAGCTGGGAATTTATAATACATACATACATTTTACTGGTTAAATGGCAAACAAGAACTCTACCACTGAACCACTTTTACCCTGTTATTTATATAGTTCTTTCTAACACTTCACTGTATTAAAGAGAAAAATATAATAACTGAATGTATTGACTTCTATATCTAGTAATTACTAACGACCACAAGCTTTTGGTGCTGTTGCCCTTAACGGTCGCCACCCATCTCTACAGCGACGCGGAGAGGCCAGCGTGGAGGGAGCCCTGAACCAGCTGGTCCTGGAGCACATGCAGCTCGCTCCGTTGCAGTGGGGTAAGTTTCTCTGAAATGAGTCTGTGATGTTATCAGGAGTAATTAGCCACCAAGTCTGCAATCTTGGTGGTGTCAAGCGACATAAGAGCAAACGTTGTGTGTTCGTTTATTCACCCGTCAATTAGCAGCCGAGCCACCATCGTCTCCAGCCATGTTTTTATCTGCATTTATAATTGGCTCCAGGCTATTTTGGAGAAGTGTAGACAGCAGCTTGGGGAATGTGTGAATCACTGAGGACTCACAGAATTTGTAGGAGCCTTCTTTGGTCGCACCATCTGTGATCGTCGTCTGATATCTCTTTGATTTATTGAGGGAGTTATTTATTTATTTTTTTTAATCGCTGTCCTCTCTCTGGTACCTGCCAGCATTCAGATTCATCAGCTGGGGGCCGCCCTGCCTTGATGAAAAACAAAGGCAGAAACAGGGATGGATTGTTGCAAAAACATCAACGTACCAATCAGAATTTTATCGCTGATTTTCACACCTCTGGTTTCAGAAGGCTGAAGCATTTTGTTAAGTTTAATGTCTGACCCCAAAAAAATAACAAACCAGCACTCTGACGACCCCATAAAAACACAAACATTTACTTGTTATATATAAATATAAAGTAAAGTAATAAATGTTTTAAATGCATTTATTTTTATTAAAGGACATTTGATTATTTAATTCCCTGTTTTAAATGTATTTTTAATTATGCAAAGAGACATTTAATTGTTTAAAGGTGCCTTTTAAAATTGTCCGTCTTATATGCATCAGTAATAATTGTAAAAAATAATTTTCTACCTCCTACTTCATGTCTCTCGACCCCCCAGGGGATCCCTTCTGAATTAGAATGGTAATAATAGGATATCATTTTAAGAAAAATATGTTTGTTTTCAGTGTTGGGAAAGTTCTCTTTCTACGTGAAATAGTTCATAATTCAAAATTTTGAACTAAGTTCACAGTTCCAAAAAATGAACTAGTTCATAGTTCTTTTTTTTTTCATATATTGCTCAATTACACCATAGCCCACTGTAGAACCACAGAGCAATTATTTTATCAGTTGTAACACTGAAACTGTGCGTCAGATTTCATCTTCATATCCAGTTTTGAATCCTTATCCAACCAGGGTTTACATTAGCATTGAGGGGACAGCATTTCCCCATTGTTGCTTTAACGCTTTGTTGCTGTCCATTCACTTCACACTAGTAGCAGCTGCAGCTTTCACCCCTACAGTATATTCTCAACTTACTGCTGCTTTGTCGCCTCCACGGTCGCCTCCATGCTGCTGTGGCTTCCACGCTGCATTTTGTTTTGATGACGCACGCGGCTGTAGGCTACGACACTGGTAGCTGGTGTTGCCAGATTGGGTGTTTTTCCCGCTACATATTAAGGCTTGTTTACGGTGTGATTTAGCCGGGGTTTCGCCTAGAGGGCTCTATAGAAATCTGGCAACCTATTGAACGAAGTTGAACTGAGAGAGCGTGCCGTTCACAGACACCAGAATGAACGAGTTCACAATAACGTTCATCAGGCAGTAATACAGTACGTTCAGTTCACGTTCGCCCAAAATATGAACGAGTTCATTGAACGAAAGTTCAATGAACTCGTTCAGGCACAACACTGTTTGTTTTAGGCTACATGGTGGTGCAGTGGGTAACACTATTTTTTTGGTGCAAGACTACTCTGGGTTCGATTCCCGGCCCGGGGTCGTTCTGTATGGAGTTTGCATGTTCTCCCTGAGCATGGGTGGGTTCTCTTCGGGTACTCCGGCTTCCTCCCACAGTCCAAAAACATGACTGTTGGGTATAAATCTCTAAAATCTCCTTAAGTGTGAGTGTGTATGCATGGTTGTTTGTCTTTTTGTGTCTCTGTGTTGCCCTGCAATGGACTGGCAACATGTCCAGGGTGGACCCCACCTCTCGCCCATAGACTGCCGGAGAAAGGCACTGACCACAACCCTGATAGGATTAAGTGGGAGAAGTTGGATGGATGGATGGATGGATGGATGGATGGATGGATGGATGGATGGATGTTTTATGAACTACTGAAATATAGAAACATTAAAAACACATCAAATCTCATCAAAAATGAAAAGAATAAACCCAGAGAGGGATCAACCCCACTGTGAAAGTAAAACTGAGAAACAGATGCTGCAGGTTTGTTCCCACTTGACTGGAAATGTTAGGGCATCTTTCCAATCCTCACGAAACTGTCTACATACACCTACTACATGAGGCCAGGCCTTATAATTCACCTGGAGAAACCAGAACCTCTGTAGAGATCATCTAAGGATTTTAGCTCTTCCCAGTGGGTCACTGGGAGTCATTTCCTAGCTCTCTGGCTGCTCCCATCCTGCTCCTCCTTGCACAAAGGAACCATTTCAGAACCTGTTGGTGGGTCAAAGACCTCCAACCACCCCATCCAGCTCTGTTTAAGTAATAGAATAGTAGATAGAATTCAACTTTATTGTTATTACACTGTCACAAGTACAAAGCAAGGAAACTAACTCTCTGCGTTTAACCAATCCCCTTGGTGAGCCATGGGCTACCATTGCCCAGGAAGCAGTGTGGGGTTAAGGGTCTTGCTCATGGACCCAGAGTGGCAGTCAGTGGGAGTGGGGCTTGTACTCAGAACCTCTGGATTCCAAGCGCAATGCCTTAACCACTAGGCCGCTGTAGGTACCATATCTGCTCGTGTCCTGCTTCATGCCACTGACGTTACGCTACATTATTGGCTGAACGTTGCCACATGATGTAAAACATTGTGGTTGCCCAGACAACGATAATAACATTGCGCAGTGTCTGTGTGCCTAGTCGGGAGCATCTGTAGTGTTAGCGTGTCTAATGATCGATGAAGTTTTACCTGATTGAGAACAAAACTGAAAAAAAATCTGTTTATGGTGAATAAAGCAACTTTTAGATCATGATTTAAAGGGGGAGAGCTGGGTAGCACTGTGGCTAGCTTTGCTCATTAGCTAACAGGTTAGCCTCTTTTAGCTTGATCAGTTAGCCACATTAAGCTACACAATTTGTGTCAAAAACAACCGTTCACAAGTAGAATAACTGTTTTATTTGTCTAAAATTTTTACTAAAGTCATTTTTTAAGACCCTCAGATCCTAATAAATAGAATAAAAATAAGCTGAGACTTTTTTGTCACCTTGATAAATGGCAGAGCTCATTCTATCTTAGCAGGCAGTGCTTTTCTTCAAGCCTGACAATGATTGTTTTCTATTTTCGGCTACTTTAGATCGCCAATGAAATGTAAAATAACAACAAATATAGCAGGTAATAATATTTTGAGACTCCAATAGAGATTTGATCCTTAAAAAATGGGTGCAATACAGTTTGTCTGAGTGGGGTTGCCATATGTTGACGTCATTAAAAGGGGTATGACCCCGAGCTGATCTGACTATGAAAGTAACACACAAGTAACCTCCTGTCTCCTGAATCTCCTCCATAATCATGAATTTGTGATGGAGGAACAGCAAACCTTCTGGAAGTGGCCCATATTAGCATGCAGCCCTAGTGGGGATGGACAGCCTGTAACGGATCTGTCGGGTACTGGGATTGACGCTCAGCCTGGTCAATGCAAAACTACAAAAAACTGTTTAAAAATTGGGACAGAAAACATGTATATGAGCTCCAACAGTGAAACCAGTCATGTTCATGGCGGTTGCCTTATTTTTGCCTGTTTGGTTCACTTTTCTTTTAATAACAATTTTGCTGACATCAAAACAGGCAACCACTTCTGCTTAACTAACCAGATCGATATTCCAGATGCTTAAGTGAGTTGTTATTATACTCTGATTAAAGAGTGTTGCTTTGATTTTTATTTTATTTTAGTTTTTGTTTTATCTGCAGAAGAAGTGGCACTCTTTGTATGTGAGGAAGCTTAATCTGAATCAAAGGTTTTACTCATGCTTTAAAATGGGAAAAAAGGATTAAAAAGTACAAATATTAAGCAGTCTCTAGCATTTATAATATTAATATACTTTTTAAAGTATTGCATAAAGCTAGAGCAGAGGGCATAACACGACCACACAAAGGTCTCCTTGTTTACTACTGAAGAATACTAATGTTTGTTTTAAGTCCTTAGATTACCTTTGTACGGTGTGTGACACCCAGAGGCTGAATAAAACACAGGGACTGATCTGTACCAGCTGAGATTTGCAGCAGCCTCTGTGTCCTGAAGTCTTTATTTTTTGGTCTGTAAACAGCACTGAGCTTTGAGTCGTGGGAAATGGTTGATTGCAAGCCCATTAGTTTGACGCAGCGCATTAGGATGCCTTTATCAATGATGCCAAGACCATCATAAGCACCATTATTGGTGCCGTTCAATCATTTCCCCCATGTGGGAAATCGTTAGTGCAATTGGATGCTTTTAACGCTGCTGTTGCTTTGTGAGCTACCCTGACAGAGTTCCTGTAGAGCCATATCATTTATCCTTCAGGAAATACAGATTTTAGTTGTCATGCTATAGCTTATATGATGTTTATTACCCTTTTTCTGAGTATTTCTTTCTTGCCATAGATGGATATGTTACAGTTCTACTCTTTAAATGTCTCCATATTAACACAGGAACATTTCCTGTTGGAACGATGGCGTCTGACAACAGCATCCTTTCTGCATCACTTTAGAGAGAGTTTCTATAGATGGTTTAGGAGTTTAGCTTCCACTTAGTTTTTGCTCATTTAGGTTCTTTACCATTTCACCTTTTTACAGTTTTAAATGTTTCAAAGCTGAAGCTACTATTGGTACAAAATTAATCTATAATTTAAACTTTATTATATACTGAACACAAGTTAATGAATGGCTTGCAAAGTTTTTATTTATTTTTTTTTTTTTACCTTCGTTGACAATCAAATGTGTGCAAATCAGTTTTATAATGAACTCAGTCTACTAAGGTGAAAAGTGGCTTTTAATAGATTTTATCTACTAGAAAAGGTTGCTTGTAGTTTAACTAGGGGTCATGAACTGTCAGGTTTCAGCATTCCAACAGAATGACGCCGCCTTCACCT